CCTTCCTCCTCCTCCTCCTCCTCTTCTTTTTATTTTGGCAGTAATTTTTTGGCAGATGGTTAGTCATTTACAATTACCCAGATTAACCATAGAGACTTGCAGGTTTCACCGCTGCTGGATGGTTCTGCTCGTGAATGGCTTTGGAATAACACACGACCACTTGTCAAACAGTGATCCTGTCTTGTCCATCCATTGTTTCTTTTGGATTGTTGAGTGATGAGCTATCTGTACATATAATATAAGGTATCATTTGTCCCATACAGAGCTGTTTTTCCTACATGAATATTGATTGGTTGAAATATGAAGTGGGATTTGAGGGAATTTGTGAGTGTTTCTTTTGCTTTTTTGTAATGCATGCAGCTGTTGGTAAAGTATAGTAAATGGTTGCATTCAGCAGAAGGCTTATTTGAGGATTCAAGGAAAACTATTCCTGTTTGTATGAAAAGCTTAGGAAATTGCTGATACATACAATTGTCCTCCAAACCAAACATCAAGCAAGGTACACCTGAAGTTAAAGCAATTTGCAATGCAGTATACCAGAATCAATTCAAGAACACACAAAATAAAAAATTGTAATCTTTAATTTAATTTTCTTCTTTTTTTATATATATAGAAGAGGGGGTTCAAAGCCCAATGGCAAATAAAATTACAACCAACAAACATGAGAAGCCAAGGCACATTTTTCTATGAAAACTGTACTCTAAACTTTCCAAGATCCCAAAAACTCCATCTTAATTAGAGCTTCCCAATTTAGCTGTTGAAAGAAGTTTCTTTTGAACCATACCAAACATGTTAGGTTTAAAGCCAGATTTTCCCTAGGTTGAATTGATCGACACGAGACCTAACGAGGGAGATCTCTTAATCGGGTGTCCTCTTGGGATTGGAAGACAAATACTTGTGCTTCCCACAATAAGCTCCGAATCTTGTTCTTGTTTAGTTCCCTGGGAGGCTAGGCTAATTAATTACCATTATACTATTTATGACAAAAACGAAAAACTCATTATTACGTAATACGTGGTTACATCTCATCCTAAAAAAACAAAAGGGAAAGCAAGAACAATCGTTAGTTGATGCCACAAATTTGTGCTTAGTTTTGGTTGGAGGTGTGGTTTTTTTTTTTTTTTAAGTTATAACACTTTTAAATTACAAATCACCTCATAGAAGTAAGTTAATGCATGCATTTTATGTGAATCCCACCAAAAAAAACAAACCACACCTCCAAACCAAACACCCAAGCACTCCTAAACCCAAGGTTCAAAGTGCGGGCACGTATAACAAGAATCATCTGCCCTGTAGACCAAGAGGGCCAGCTAACATCCTCCATTTCAGTTGATGTTTTTGAAGAAATCATTAGTAATAAAAGATTTCTATGTTTTTGCATGTTCCCGATTTTCAGTTAATAGATAAAAATCTGAGGAACACAAAATAGATGACTACAACAGCTGGTCTCATCCTTGCGGGACCAGCATATTCGGCCAGCAGTTGGAGAACATTCAGCCACTTGTGGTTTCTGTGTAAATTGCAAGTGTCAAGATCAACGAATCAAATGGATGGATCTTTTGTGGTGCAAATATGGTAAGCTCGCTACAGCTTCGGCGGTTTCGGATCCGATGCAGAGAGTTCAGCATACATGTTTGATATTGCTTTGGCAAAGTATTCCTTCGCTTGAGGCCTCTTGACCTGCAAGGTTACCCAGATCAAAACACAGAAGGAATTCTCCGTGCAATTACTGTCACAGTTTGGTGCTACAAGTGGCATGTAAGAAAGACAATATGAAAGCTTAAAAGTTATAACCACTCTTTACATCCAAAATATGTATCGAGGTTGTCCAGGCCTGGAGGTTGTCCGAGGCAGAATGTTTTATGACAGCTTTACCTTAAATGTTGGCGTGAGAAGTCCATTCTCCATGGTGAAGGGTTCAGGCACCAAAGTTACGGCTTTTGCAAATTCAAAACCTCTCAACTGTAGATTTGTAAGCGAGTAAAAAACAAATTGAAGGAAATGCAAATTGAAGGGTTACAAAGCATAATTGTCTAGAAAAAGTTACCTGTGCTTCCCTTCCAACCAGATCCATGTCAGCAAGAACTGCAGCCCTTGCTCTTGGATCATTGCATAATTGTCCTAAATCATCATACTGCACAAGGAAAGTTCAACAAAACCGCAAAGCAGTGCCATTTGGCCATCAATGATCTCAACATACCGTAGTCACAAAAAGAATTATATGCACAGTATTTAAACAGACCAATCCACTTTCAAGAATTCAGCCTGCCATGATGTCTTAACACTATACAGTGAAATAAGTTTTAAGTTTGGCCAATGGCATTCATGGACAATGTGCATTCATAAATTGTAGTCTTTACAAAATTGAGGAACGGGTGTTATAAACCACAGGAGTTTTTTAAAGAAAAAGAATTGCTGTCAATAGCATTGACAGTATATTGAGATTTACAGAGTTGCTCTTAATAACATGTAAATAGATTATGATGCAACATTTCAAACCATCATGCGCTGTTTCATAATTTGCTCTCACCATGCTTCTGACAAAAAGACATCATCGATGATGAGTAACATTAAGTAAATTATGGACAGAATCAATCATTTAGGTTAAATAGTGAGCAGTAGAATCCCAACCAAAATTTCTTTCATTTAATAACACTCAAAGACTCCTGACTAGAGTTCCCAGGGTGAAATTCGTCACCAGCAGAAAAATAAATAAATAATAAATTAACCAACAACCTTGATCCCTTTAGACACAGCCCAATCTCTCAACATATCTGGCTCCACTGCAACTACAGCCACTAATGAGGAGTTGAAGCTATCACCTACAAACAAATTAAGCCATCAGGGAATAAATCATAACTGAGAAGATTGATATTCAATGTAAAACCCATGCTCTTACCATATATAAAACACTGGGAAACAAATCTGCATTTTGTATACACATTCTCAACCTTCTCCGGTGCTATGTACTCACCCTGTGCCAACTTGAAAATATTCTTCTTCCTGTCATAAATTAAGTGACAGTTTCAATAAGGTGACAGGATTCAAACTTCAATCAATATAGTTGGTATTGCTAGAAGGACACGGACAACCGATATAAGATATTAAAAGTAAATTTCCATTAATAGAAATAAAAGCACATCGTAATTATTTTTATTCATCTTTCCACACAAAACCAAGGTAAACAACCAACCTGTCAATAATCTTGAGGCGGCCTCCGGGTAACCACAACCCAATGTCTCCTGTATGCAACCACCCATCATCATCTATTACTTCTCTCCTGTCCAATTAAGCCAGCAGTTAGGTAGACTAATCATTTGCAAAACATCTCAGCAACAAGATCTAAATAGGATACAAAAGTTGATTACATTTGGACTTCAGCTTTGTAGTAGCCTTGGAAGATAGTGGGACCCCTGACACAGATTTCTCCACGAGGATGAGGCTGATCCTCAGAGGTGTAATTCATTTCAGGGACATCCACCAGTTTTATTTCTGAAAGAGAAATGTAAATGTGAATCATTATAGATAACTAACTTACACTCCAACTGGCCAGGCACACAAGATAGAGGATAAACAACTTCTAGTAGGAATTTCATTATGTAATTTTCCAACAATCACTTCAGCATCTTCACAAATGGCCTTTTGCTGGGTTAAGAAATTATAGTTTTCATCATGAATCATGTGTGTCAGAAAATCTAAAAGAAATCATATGTCCTAAATAGGTCATGAATCAATCATGTGCACGTAGAAACTCAAGAATAGTATAGAGTTAAGGAATTAAAACTCATAACCCGAAGTCGTATCCATGAGAGAATCATAGAACATACAAGAAAGTGCCTGCCAAAGCCTACAGGTTGGTCCTGCATCTGCTGATCATCATGCAAAATGATCATACATCAAAATGGTTAAGTTCTGTAGATTGACTACCCTAGCACCATGAATAAACCAAGCACTCAGACCAACTACATGGTACCAGGAAATCAAGTGATCCTAACATTTTCCCTAAAAAACAAAAGTTCAATATCTTACCTTAAGTTGTCATCCATAATTATGAATTTCCTAGAACTTCTCTTGATAATGTGTATAGCCCACTAAACTTCCCCAACCAAATAGTAATTATTTGTTTTTGGCGAATCATCCACTAATAGTCAATAATCAACATTTTTAATAATATTAATCAGTAACGGTTTTTTCTCTTAAGCTTTCCTTCCAGCTTATTCCTGTTCTTTTTCATTTAAAGCATCTCCAACAGTTTCAGCTAAACTTCTACTAAAGCCTCTGTAACCAAAATTCTATCTTCATATAGCATTAGGACTTTTACATCACACCAATTCACTTAGCCAACACTCCTTTCTTTTCTAGAATCCATTGGGCCTTTTTATCAAAGTGGTTTCAAGGCACAAGATGTTTTGTATGAATAAAAGGATGTAATTGTGATGGTGATCTTTGAAATTCATTATTTCTCATGTGTTAGCATCTGATTCATAAACAATAAAACTATGGGATACCAACTAAAATAGATATTTATCAACTAGAGCAAACTACTACATGTTGTAATTACCGATCCATGCTACAATTTCACATACCAGCTCATGTAGATGGCAAGCTTATTATGCTATCAACAACCAAGTGTGTACCACTCACCGCAGGCAGGATTAGGAGACCCAACATGGCCAGATAAGTTGTCACCCTGGTCCACACTGCTAATGACACAAGAAGTCTCTGTCATCCCATATCCCTCAAGTACTTGACAGCCAAAACACCTATAAACAGTGATAAAGTTTGAAGCAAATATGTAAGTTACTAATAATGCACCCTCCCCACACCCTGCCCCC